CTTATGACCCTAAAACGTGTGGTTTATAGACGAGCAGTTAACTACACCAACTGTGGGACTGAAGCATCGACGAGCGGAACAGTGCGGTTGTTAGTGATGGCTGTAAAATAGCCATTAAGTTTGACGGGCTTTCGTCTGCTGCTGAACCCAGACAAGTTTCTGCCAGGGAAAGCCTGCTATGACCAGTTTAAAGCTGGATACCATCTAAAGGGTGATTGTTTCTTATTTCTTGGGGAGAAAATCTTGTGAGAGTTTGACCCTGAAAAGCATTATTAACATGATAAAGAGCGGAAACCCAGAAATGACTGAAGTAATGAAGAGCTGAAGCGATATAAGAATTGCGCGCAGTTGCAAAAATGGCTCTTTGAACAACATTTTCACACTAAGATAGATAGGTGGTTGAACGATTCATGGTTCATGACACCAAACACATGTACTGCTATGGTATGGTGACACCATCACCCGTCGATATAACTACGGGACCAGAATCAAAAGTCTGAAGTCCTGTTTATTTTCACCCTAAATTTAGGCGTGGTCGTTGCGCTCGTTGTGTACAAATCATTAGCAGTTCCAGAATTACCAGAAAGTGCGATGTATTTGGAAAGACTAAAACAACAGCTTTGGCAGAGTCCTCAGGTTTTAACGGATGTTTTAATCTGCATATGGCAGAGTTTCTTCAGAGTGAGATGCAATATTTTGTCGCTGCTGATGGTGCTTACCTAAAGCTACAATGATAAAGCTAGGCCTGCTGAACGGTTTAAATAAGCCATTCTTTTTATTGTGTTCAGGGCAACAATAAAGGGATAACTGAGAATATGAAACAACCATTCGAAGGAATAAGATTAACATATTCCCTGACGATGACCGATGCCATTTGTGTCAAAAAGTTATAATAATTGTAAATAAATGTCTTTTTGCTTTCGTGCTGACTATGTAATCAGAAGACCAGTCAGCTTTCTTAGTCACCCATGGCATAACATTGGAACGAGCTTCAGAAATGTTTGATGATCAGTGCTAAGCGAAGCCTCTAGTGCTCAAGAAAAGGGTGGCAAGATGAAACTCAGTTTATTATTTCTACTGTCAATTTGCATGAGAGGTTTTAACCCTTTCATTCTTCATCCATCTTTCATCTGCTATTCCTTAATTGACGAATCACCATTGGTGGATGTATGTTAGCGTAGCACTAGATTGAGAATGCGGCGTTTTGCGCCTGGTGGATTTGGTGAATTTTCTGTGACGTGGCTCCTTCTTCTAGTCGGATCGTGTAATCTTCGATTAACGGTTATGCTGTATCATTAAGCGGCTGATTTTCCATTGATTTTTAAATCAACATGACCGCTTGTTAAAAATGTTTTGTTAGCGGCCCCAATAGCAGTGGAAAAGATTCGTTGCCGTTGCGCGGAAACGAACCATGCTGACACGGCTGAGCTTTCAGCTTAACCCTAAATAACCCGAAACTGCCAGGCGGTAACCCAAGACAAAGCGACTCTGATTGGAGGGTAAACAAATGCGCATGAACTCCGTCCGTCGAGCCACGCAGTCGTGATTCAGTTGGCAGCCGCTGCTTACCTTCAGCCTTGATCAAATATCACCTAATTAGTACTGCATGGTTATTTATTTTACCGACAGATCAAAGAACCGATGCCTGTGCAACGGCTTCAAAGCGGTACTTGCGTTTCCGACAGCTGCAGCCGACAAGCGAGGTCCTTGCGCTCTCCCCCGATGACGTAATGGTTTAATTCGAAGGCTCTCTCCAGCTCGACCAGCTGAAACGGCGAGAACGCGGTGCGGTTCCGCTTTGGCTTCCGAAACGGCGGCAACAGAAGATTGGTCAGACCACTGAAGTCAGCACCTTAAAAATAGGCCCAATCAAAAAGCTTAAACTTTTCTCACCGGTACATGAACCTCATCTCTGATACAGTATGAACAGTAACGACTTTCCTACTGTAGTTCTCTTGGCGCGTGATGTCATTTGACAAAAACTTTCGTGAAACATGAAGGTGGTACTTTGAAATAAGCTTGTGAACAGCAATTTTTTCACCCTTCAGAAACGCATGAGTTCGGGCATAAACTTTATGGGGAATAAAAATTGCTACTATTAATCATCGATCATTGTTTTGATGCGCGGCATTATGGCATATTGATTTGGTGTTCTTTCCTTGGAGGAATTTGCCTTGGTCGAAATCCTAAAGGAAGGTCTGGAAGACACTAATGGGGGTGAGCAAACACTAGAGGTCGCTATGATCTTGGCCACCACTTACCTAAGTGTTTATTCGTGCCTGTCGTCCCTCACCTGGACTCGCGAACAGCGCTGTGATCGTCACTTGAAACCGGCTTAACCAGGCGAGAGTCGATGTCTCGCTCGAGCAGTCTTCGCCGGTCGGAAGGCGGAGACGGCCCTGGAGGTGAGGATGGTAAACAGACGGGTCCAAGGAGGCACCAACCTGCCAACCGACTCCGTCTGTCACCTGTTTGCTCAGTATCGAGATCGGTCGGTGCGAAAACGAGCTCCTGGCCGCCGCCACCGCCGCCCGCCCGCCCCAATCACCGCAACAAACGCAAAGTGTAGTTAGTTAAACGTTCGACAAACGAAAGCCCATTAACTGGAATAAACGACGCTATTCAACGAGTGCATGCCGCAAAAGACTGCTGCGTACAGATCGGCTGACCGGTCAGCGGTATGCTCTGCTACCGTCTGTTTCAACAGAGGAGGAAGCTGAGGTCGAGATTCAGCTGCTCGCCGGATCTTGAATTTTCTCAAGCAGATTTTTCCCCATTCGTTAAGATGCGGTTCCGTTAAAAGTTATGCGGCCCATCTCCCGGCTATTTGTCAACATTCTAATTACAGTCATTAAATGAACACTGCGCCTCGGTGAACGACGCTAACATTTTACGATCACTTTATCACTGATGCTTCGCTTGTGAACTTCGCCTTCATCCGCAATAAACTCTTCAGTTGTACCTAATGCCACAGGAAAAACGCTGTTAACACTTGGCGCAGTTGGCGAAGCTTTTAGCCTGGCCGCGCTACCGGTATAGAGCAGGCATCAGACAGTGCGACGCAACGGTTTCGCCACTGTTTCTGTCAATTCACTCATATTGCAGTTCCGATGACTTAAGGATAGAGAACACGATGGGTTCGAATTCTTTTCAACTCGTGCCATTATATTTAAATTAAATAATAGATTACGTTATGCATAACACTTTTGAAAATGATGTTTTGAAACGGCAATACTACAGGAATATTCTGTTGCACTCTGAAAGCCATATGCATTTTTCTCTAGAACAATGACCAAACAATTTTCTTAGTAGGTCGTTATTACTTTATATTACATATTCTGCTTATGGCGCTACGGAGCATGGAGATGAGAATGAGCCGTTTTCTATCAAGAAGTCAGACATGTTACATCTGTTTTAACGAATACAAGGATCAAGGATCTGAGTGAATCAGTTGTTTCTCAGCATTTCTACTAACATTGACTACAGTTTACAAGGACATACCTGAAGATAAATTGTGCTTGTAGAGTAACAAGGGTTACTCATAAAATTTAGCAACTACGTAACTTTCATGGAAGTCGAACTTGACTTTTTGAGTGCCGTGGTTATTACGCAAAAAAAATTACCTGAACCGTATTCTCTCTATCTTTATTCTTGGACTACATTAGAAACCAAAAAATTTCGGGATGAAGCCTGTTTATGTTTCACCTTATTGCTAATTAGTCTAGCCCTAATCAAGCAACAGAATGCATGAGATTCCCATGATTCCATAAAAATGAAACGGTACAGCAAACCCTTGATAATCGAAAAGTAGTAATCGAAAGATTAGACAATAAAAAGTCATAATTAGTGCCGTCGACAAAAACATTGTCACCCTTGAATTTCATTATTTCATCGTAAATCATATACGTTTAAGGCAACACTGAAATATAAGCGAAAGCATTTCGTCCTTGTTGCTGCAGGGAGTTAGCCAAGATTTGTATTAAACAGTCGACAATGGCTGTTCCAAATTTGTCATTGATCTGTTTCTCAGGGGTATAGCATCAAGAACTTGGTCATTCTTCTATCATAGGCGATCCAGAAAAACATAAGTACTGAAAATTCTTCAAACTCACTTAAAGTTCAGGTTCAACTCTTCCTGACTCTTTAGTACGGCAAGCATAAAAATATGAATGCTTCAAAACATTTTAAATTGCATAATCAATGGCTTCAATGCTGTTATTTCATTTCCTCTTATGCCTTATTTCAGATTACATATCATAAATGATGAGTACATGGTCTTATTTATAGCAGAGCGCAATTCAAAAAATGGAATCAGTCGTTGCCAACTTCCATCCTACTCCTACTCTTTCCAGAATATGCACCTGTTGACGATTTCCTTTCAGTTCTTTGCATTTTTCCTTTTCAAAAGAATACCATCATTACGCTGAAATGATACAAAGTTGGCAGACTATTTACGGCATCGATCATTGCAGCGTTCCTTCCTCACTTTCCTGAATCTTCAGATTTATGTATTGCATATTAGACATTCATTTACATTACATGACTCTATATTTATGTCATTAATAGACGCTCTATTTCAAGTTTGGGACGCGCTCTCAAATTGCCTGCTAGAAACAGTCATTATCCAAGCGAAAACGAAGATGTGAGCGAAATTTTCGAAATTAACAGGATAAAGGAAAGATGAGTGTTAGATCAACTTATTAGAGCATTAAAATCATAATTAAGCTTAAAATTTTCGAAACGTCAATATTCTTAGCTGCTGTGATAGATGGGTGCAATGATTTAATCATCGGGAAGGCAGAACATAAATTTGCTGGATTGTTCAGAATACGATTTGAAAATGACGTAAACAACCCCATAGTCAGTCGTGGGAATGGTTCTGATTGAGTCAAGTATCGCAGGATCACACTTCTGCCTGTGCTGAAAAAGGTACTCAAGCGAATCCTCCTCTGAAGACTGAAGAACGCAGCTGACAATTCTCTTCGAACAAATTAGCAGGGTTTCGAACTGGACTCTCGTGTTCGGATAACATTGCCGTACTGAAGAAGATAGGTAGGGAGCTTCAAATTACCCTGGCATGCAGCACTGATCGACTTCCAAGCAGCTTTCGACGGTACATAGCTAGTTTCTATCC